CGCAAAAATATTAATACAAATCCGTATTAAATTCTTAAAAACCCGTCGAGTCGTTTCTCCTCAAGCGCGCACAAGTTGATTTTCCTAACAAGGAACACTTATTTACAAGCGTTCAAAGTTTAGGCGAGCACGCAGTCAAGTGTGAACCCCTCAGGAAGTTGGCGTAATTCCCCGTTCCTCTGAACTTTAAATAGAGTGCTTTTAAATAATTAATAACTACTGTTTCGTTATTAGGTCTGTACATCGAAAACTATGCGTTACCATTTTTAGTAAATACCAACGTGTTTTTCTAACACGGCCAGTAATATTTATTTATTTTTTTTTGCAAAAACAATCTGCGGTAAAAACGATTTCAACAATTTCGGTGAAAATGTGGTTTTCAAAAACATAGAAACAGACTGACATAACGAATAATATGCGAGTTGTTCAAAAAATTCTTTTGCGTTCGATATACTAACGTCAAATTGAGTATTTCGATTTGATGCACGCTCGGAATCTGTGTAGAAATTAATCACGAGACCGGATATTACGTCGCAGAAACAATGAAATCGATCATCTCGTTATTTGAGTCTTTGAATATATGCATCTGTTTAACAGGGATACGCGCGCGTACTATAAATAAAACGTATCGTATACATATAGCAGTGTGATGAGACTGTAACGACGAAGCATATCTGCGGAAAATACACTCTAGCTGCGGACGAACAGGAATAAAAAAAAAAATATGATCGTGAAATATGTTTTTAACCACGGGGAGGATTCCATTTTCATAGCGATAGTAATTTAACGTGTTGTCATTCATTGTAATGTTACGATGTTTTTACGAAATAGTACCTAATACAAATATAAATGCACATTGAATGGAAATAACGATGGATTTTACAATACATAAAATAGGTATCATAATAACATCATTCTATTTGAATTTTGTCATGAAATATTTCGTACGAATATAATGATTATTACCTAATAAATAATAATAAGTTGGGTAGTAATGCTTTTTGGTAATTTTGTTGTATTAGTGTAAAATTTATAATGGCTACGTTCCGAACCTCGATTGAGGGATATTCGAAGTACTGTTTTAGAGCAATGACTATTTCGATAAAAAAAAAAAAAAAAAATAGGATTTAAAAAGCTAAATCGTAGAAAATTACTCATTAATGGTAACTATTTATACTATATTAATTGACATCATCGGTAATTATTAAAATTAACTTAAAAATAAAATGTTTTTCTAGGTAACCAATAAGTGAAAAATCTATACATCTAGTCTAAAGCCCGAAACTGTTTTGACTCTTGAAAAAAGTGATTTTCGAAAAATTCATTCTTAGTGCACCAGTAAATTGTAATAAATACATTATCTGAACATATCAAATTAATCGGTATCGAAATTTTAGCTGTTCATCGATTAGTTAGTGAGTAATTGTCGAATAATAATTAAATTTTATACATTATTATCATATATAGATAAAAATACATAAAATTATATCATGAGGTTTAATATTTTTCGATAAGTATTTAAATATTATACTGAAAATGACGTTTAATAAAAGTTTAGCTTTTCAAAATCAAGTGACTGAAAGTAGTCCTGCTAGGAAAAGACGATTTTATATTTTGTACATAATTTACGTTTTTACGATGAGATAGCAAAGTATTTTCTTGTACATTTAGATCCAACCACTTATACAAATTATATCATTTAGATATCCAACTAAATTTACAAAACATTGTTATGTAAAAAACAAGATTATATGTACGTACACCCAAAAACGAAATGACCACTGATTACCATTGATTCCTACCGGTGCAGTTGTAGGTAATCAACGTGGATATTATTATTATACCGTTGTCTTAAAATACAATAATAATAACATTATACTCCGTGCACAACGATAATCTCACGTAGGGTACAATATATGATGGATATTACATTTTCATATTATCAAGTTAATGACAGTCGTTCCAGTAATATGCTTGCACAGTTGTTATATGCATTTTAACAGACAAATTTGCCAAATGGATATGCGGTGATGGGTTGCTATAACCATTATTGGTTGCTCATTATAACTACGGTGGATATTATATAATGAAGAAATCAAATTTTCTCAATATTTTCTCAATCATTAATAATAATAGTAATATCTTTCAGTCATGACGGTGCGGCTAAACAATTATTTATCATCGGGAGCATTGAGTTTGTTATTAATATGAACTATGATCTATGAAAAAGTTATTTTTTAATATAAAAAAAATAAGTTTAACATCAAAAAATCCTCGCGGTAAGATATATCCTTTTACCGCATTCGTTTGACTACTACCTGTATTACAGTTACGTAACACTCGTACTTAAGTTTGACGTATGATTCAAGGATACGTATCTGATGAAAACCAAGAGTGCGTTTAGATATTAATTAACAGTTTAATGTTTTCGACCAGGGGCGGGCAACTGGCGGCCCGTGAGCCTTTTTTACATGGCCCGTGGTATAATTTCAAATTATATCATGCAATTTTAAAGTTTTTCGTCTATAATCTATCTTATTGATATAATAATTGTTATCTGATATTAAATGTCTAAATGTCATATGTATGTATAAGCATAGCTTTCGACCGTAGCTGTTTGTACCGCGCTATTTAGGTATATTAATTTCTTCTTATCGTTCGTGTCGTGTTGTCGTGTGTGTTGAATTTATTATTTTCGTGTATATAAATGCTAATTAAAAGTCATATTTTAAATGACCTTTTTTTTTCTTGTTTTCTACGCTCTGGTCCGCTAGCTTTAAATTTTCTAAAAATCGGCCCTTTAGTAACTTTGAGTTGCCCATCCCTGTTTTAGACGATAACCACCGAACAACATAACGATCGTCCCGAATTATATTACCCAATACTTGTGGCACATCGAAAGATCGACCGTATCGAACCATCGCGCAATGCGCATATGCGCATGTTTCCATAACTATTGCTTCGGACGTTCCAGTACCGAACGGTGTTGCACTCAATCGATTTCGCAACACAAAAAAGATGACGTGACAACGCGGTGAATTCAGACACCTCGTCGGAACGTGAAAAAAGAAAAATATTTATGGATAGTATAACGCAGAAACGTGAGTTTTGGTTGTAATCCCGAAAATTCCAAAAGTCGCTAAACACATTACTATCGTTACGGCGTGGCGCGCGACGACTTGACAGGGGCGTATCGATTTTCGTAGCAGAACAATGTTAACAACGAACAATGAAAAGTCGTATAAGAAACGCACGCGGCGCGAGAACGTAATGGTGATGATGATGAATTATTCCGCCGGGACTCTAATTATAATCATTTTCGATTTCTTTGGCACCGTCGAACGCAACTGCAGCGGATCGACAAATCGATTCGGAGATTTCACGTGGACCGTTGAAAACGCGATTGGTAACCCGACGTTCGCACCGGAAAAAGAAGGTAATGATGGTCGCGGTCGTGCCATCGAGGATGTACCGGATCGCACCGCGACGAGGAAACGGAACTCAACTTTATAACGCAGCTGCTAGCGAATAATAAACGAATAAATAATAACAGTATTGCATCGGCAAAGTCCTCGGGGTCGAATGATAGCGGAGCCGTACCGGGATAATAATATACATGAATACTGGAGGTTATTATTGCTCGTCACGTAAGGTCGATACGATGGAATTGCTACGGGAGTACGTTTTCATCTTCGCTCGTCGCGTTCTTCTTACGTAATCGGTATTAGTAATGGTCGCAGAACGGATTCCATTGATACGTGTACCTACTTAATTTCATTGAAACGCGCAAACAAAAACAAATTGAAATACGAGTGACCAATTATTATTTTGTTCGTGAGATTAAGAATACATGGTTTTGGTTTTTAAATCGTCGAAACGATGCAAAACTGTAAGACTTTTTTCAAATAAGTCTAACGTTTGAAAATGTAAAGTGGCGCCGATGTGGTCGTAAAATAGTGAAAACAGTGGTACATGGAAAGATAACGAATCGGAAAATCAAAGTTTTCTCGAATACTTCCACGAAGTAATATGCACTAAAACACCCGAGTGTGTAAGCAAGGGCGGATTGGTCTATCGGGAAATCGGGAATCTTCCCGATGAGCCGGTCCTTGTTTGAGCTGCTTGATATTATTATATAATTACCAAAAAAAATTTTATTTGGTAAAATAAATAAAAATCATTAAACAAATAAATATATATTTAAAGATGCATTAAGATCAAACTTCAAGTTGTAACTGATTAATCATGTGACTTACCCAAAACTATTATAGTTATAATTATAGTTTAGTTATTGTAGATTTTACTAATTTAGGGGTGAAACTAAACAAATTTTGAAATTAATGCAAAATAAAGCGTTTTTTTTTTGTTGGGAGGGTGAGGGGTAAAATAGTTTAATTTGCGGTTCATGGGCCGGTTTGTTTCATATTTCCTGGGCCGAAAATAATTGCCAATCCGCCCCTGTGTGTAAGACTATTATGTGAAACGAAATCGACCTCGTTCGATTTAGAACGATCCGGAATCGATCACGTTTTTTGAATAGACAAAAAAATAAAATCTCGTTCCTGACAAAAAAAAAAAAAATGTATGAATACATTTACAATAAAATCCTTTCGTCCGGCAGCAGTAACAATAATAATACTATCTCGTCGTCCTGCGGAGGATGGACACAGTGTCGCGGTCGGACGGCGTCCGGTTCAAGGTCGTCCGGAGCGTCAGCGATCTTCGAAGGCCACCTATCCTGCTTTCTTCGCGGGTGCACACTCATGTTTACACGTACTCTTTACACACGCACACGCACGTACACCGCTCTAGTGCACGCACACACTTTCTCTTTCGCCAAGAGACGGACTCCCCCGCCCCTCGCCACCGATGAGCACCGAACCGTTTACGTCCGCTCCCACCCGTGTCCGCCGTGTCGTCCGCGACCGCCGGCGGGCCCGTACCTTTACCGTGGCCGTGGTATAAATACCCGTCACGATCGTCGGGTCCGGTTCATTTAGTCTTTGACCGCGCGATGACCAACCGCGCGCAACCGCATTTTTGTTTTCATTCCGGTGAACTCCGTGCTTCCGCGACGGTGCGGTAATCGTGATTACTGATTTTCCGTCCAACAGTTTTTCGTTTTACGGGGTTGTATTTTTATTTTTTTTTTAATTCTCACCCGTACGGGTTTCCGATTTCCGTACCGCAGTTGTTTTTCATCCTTTCATCGGCCGCCCACGGCACGGGAGATTTCGGTACCGCCTTCGCATCACGCGCACCGTAGGATACGTCATGGATTTCCAATCGACACAGGTAAAACGTTTTGACAATTATTTCCCACCCCACACGGTCCCCGATTCACCGTAAAATGTACGCACGACTTAGTATATGTTTTTTTGACAATTTCAAGTGTTTACGGTTGGAAAGGCCCGCCAGAACAAATTTTAGTGTGCTTTTAGAAACATTTAAAACGAGGGTTACCTCGAATTTACGTATAACGAAAACATTTCCGTAAATTTACATTTATTCGGTGCGACTGTACCGAATTCACATCTCAACTTCGCCACACATTTGAAACGTCTTAATTTTTTGAACAGTTCAACATGCAGTAAATACGCACGTCTAACGGTAGCGGTGCATGATTAACGGTCATATTATCAAAAATGATTTACATAGGTTTACACTTTATTTTTCACATGAATTATTAAAAAAAAATAAATAAATAAATAAATAAAAATGGATAACGGCAGCTCAACAAAAGTAGTCGAGTGCACTGAGTCGTGGGGGTAGTAGGTTTTTTTGTTTTTCAAACGTCACGCGCAGTATCGATTCGACAGATGAAATCGTTCAAAAGAATCTTTTGAGAACGAAATAAATATCGAGTTGTCACAATTTCTATAGCACCTGGCTGCAGCTGTTTACCGGTGCAGTAGATTCAATTATTTTAAGAACGAATATATACAATTTGACACCGTTGATTTTTTCATTTATACAACAAATCTGTGTAGGAGTTTTTTTCGTTATAAATTGATTTTTTATAGTACCAATTTTCCGCGTTCAATATTTAACTAATTAGGTTCCAAATTTTTTTTCACGATGGTATGTGATATGATATTCAAAAAAAAAAAGCTTCCGTTTAGGTTCAACTGCAACTATCGGAAATATAAAAAAATAATCGCCCATTACCATTACTTTCATACTGTAATTTGGTATGTTATTATTCTTACCGTAATTTATTCCTTCTGAGGGTACTTAATTTTTATATATTTTGTTGATAAAACTTTGAGAAGTTTTTTTTAGCACTAACATTTGGCATGGAAGTTTGAGAGTAAAAATTAAGCACTATAATAACAATTCAGATATGCTTATCTTTATTAATACTAATGCAACTAAAATGGAATATTTTCTTAATTATATACAAATCTCATTTCCGCCTTCGAGCGTGACTTATCCCATTATAATGATATGTGTACACTAATGTGCTACCATCGTAGGTAATTGAGTCTGTTGACAAACGATTGTACAGAAACTCATTAAAATAATAACGACAGTATCGGATAAGGTTATTTAAAAATATCTAAGTGCATGTATTAATATAACAAATCAAAATTCAATACTGATAAAAGGAAATAATATATTGTGTTTGTTACGGTTATTCCGATCAATTTTAATGGTTAATTCAAATTTAAATTTGTTCAATGTCCACATGATGTTACAAAACAAATAACTGTTATGGCATGTTATTTTTTCATAAGATGTCCTAGTTGCTTATTTTAAAATTTAAAGATTATAACATTCTCATTATAATGCACTTTGGAATTATCCAACTATTATCCTCGTAATCTTTAAAGTTTTAAATTTTCCCTTGCAAAAGTTGTAGTGAGTATTAAAGACTATAACAAGATTACATACTTGTAAAAACAATCAAGATTAATATTATTAATAGCTTTCAATGACTCCCCGTGGAGCTGAAAGATACAAAGAATTGAATCGACTACTATACTATTTATCTGACTTGTAGGGCTTGGTCGAATTAAACGATTCGCAGTTTCAGTTGACAAACTTACGAAACAATTACTAGTGCACTCATTATAATATTTCATCCTTACCACTTGCGAGTAAATAAAAATACTCTCGTAACTCTGTTTTCTAAATATTTTAGGACTATACTTGTGTGAAGGGCTCGTCAAGTTGTGAACTTCAAAGTGATACGGTATTGATTGTTCTATAACAAATGAAACGTATTAACTGTTAAGAGTAATACTATACACATACATGTGCGAGGTTTATGATTTGTAGTTTCTTAGTGGATGTTTTAAAAGATTCCTTGTACACTTCTCCATGTTTTTGCTATGTACCGCATTCGCAAAATATACAATAACAATAATTGTTAAATTTTCGGTACATGCAATTCATAGTTCTAACATGAAACTGTTTAGACAAGTGCGCTTGTAAAATCTAATACGGTAATAACTTAAACGGTCTCTTGCCTGGAAATCAGTTTGATCGCAAAAAGAAAAAGAAAAAAACGGTAGTGTTTCAAAGGTAACTTGGCTTAAAAATCGAAAATTAGCGTGTCGATACAAACAATAGTATCGATCTCACAAAGGTGCCTTTGCGTATGTGACGATAATAGCAGAATGTGAGATGAACATACGCCTCGTTAGAAAACATACAATCACAATCGTTGGCTTTGTTACCTTCGTCCGGCCGAAAGTTTGTCACATTAACCGGAGATGCCGAGTAGCATGTGGAATAAGAGTGGTGGATTCTTTTTTTCATTCTTTTTTTTTATTGTCCTTTCTTTTCTCTTGATTTTTATTTTATTTTTTTTTAATATTTTTCTATTTTTTTCCGTCTCGTTGTTTTCCATTTCGTTTCCTGTAATTTGCCATTCATAAAATAATCAACAATCGGGGTTGGCAACCCTGCTTTCCGATCCCCCGGTCGGATATATACTTCCGGCGCACGCTGCGCACAGTCAGGTCACGTTCTTCCGGTTTTCCAGTTGAAAAATCACAACTCTGCGCCTATTCATACATATATATATATATATATATATATATATATATGTGTGTACGTGCACAGCAAAACTCGTTCTTATGTCGTTACAGGCATATGTGTATCGATCTCATGTTATTATTGTTGTGCACGCAGGTATAATTAATGGTCGGTCGTCGACGTTTTTGGTCACCTCGGGGCGCGAATTCACCAGAAGGTGTGCGACTGCCGCCGGAATGTGTATCCGTACCGGACCGGGTTGGTGAATAATAACACACCGACGATCGAGTGGAATAGAAAGCTGATACGAGTAATACGGTTTTGTTTGCAAAAAAAAAAAAAAAAGATCACTCGTTCAAACTGTGTCGAACTTTAAAGCATTAGAAGATAGCCGATCGCCCGTAGGTGTGACGGATTCTCTGTGTTCTATGTCCTACAATTGGCCCATGAATAATGTAATTTATAACGTTTCGGTTTTAGCCTAATTGGCTTGATAAGTTTTAAACCGGTGTACATGTATACACGTAAGTAGCGTATTTATTTATGCGAATAAATAAAAAAAAAAAAGCGAATGTAATTCGTACTTTTATTTATTTACTGTGCATATTTTGTTCGTATACCCAAATCTGAGCAGTGATACTAAGCAACTTTTATAGATGTATCTTGTTTAAATTTAAAAAAATCTCGGTTAACTACCTCTTAGCTTCCTTTTTTTTTTTTTTTTGTTACGAAGAAAAAGAGACGCATATTATGTTTAATTTAAAATGGTATATTAATATTTAAAATGTACGTATTACCATACAATAGATAAAAAGTAAATTTTCTTAAGATGATGCGGGCATTTAGCGTTAGCATTATAATAATCATTACAATTTTCCAGAACCCCATTTAAAAAGAATAAATATAATAAGCCTATTGTATGTTTATATAGTTGTTAAATACACAATTTTGACCAGGTTCGTTATGAATAATGATAAATTATATAAAAATAAATAAAATTAGGTTACTAACATCATTTTGTATTGTGTGAGTTAAGTATTTTATTTTATAATATTGTGTTATATAAAAATACATTCAAACGATTCGACCGCTATTCCAGATGTTTCCATCAACCGCAAAACCCGTTTTGTGATTGATGTTCAGTAAGTATATGACATTGTTTGGGTGTGATTTTCAAAATATTGAATACCGCGTTATAATGTGATACATCACCGAAGAGACAATTATGACGATCTATTTAACATGTCACTTGAATTCGGGCGTATAATATAGTGTTAAATGTCGTTTTAGCACATCAACATCTGACAGCAGAAAATAAAAGCTGTTTTGAAAATCACGCGTCTTAAAAAACGTAATCGATTCGATCATATATTTTGCACCAACCGACAAAGTTTTAAATTAAGCAATATGAGCGGAAATCATTAACTCTAACAGTATAATTACACCACGATAACGACACCGCGCGGCAGCGAGAGTAGATAGGTGTGGTGGTTTTTAATAGCATACATATTAAAAATTAAACGTTCTTTATGTGTGACGAAAAATGAATAAAATTCAGAGCACAAAAAAAAAGCTAATTTTTTATTTTTACCAATTTAACAGTAAATACATATAATATTTTTTATCAGCTTATTCGATTTTTGCATATTGTAATAGCTGTTTACAGTGAATTTCTCTTAGAACTGCAATGATAGTTTTATTCAAAATTACACGCATCCGTCTTCCCACAGACGCATTTTCACGGGCTGCAAATTGAAACGTATTCGTATAACGACATGAATGAATGGGCGAGTTTACGACTATTATTAATAAAAAATAATAAAAACACATGTAATTATTACACTCAGTGCTAACAAGTATTTTCATATTGGTTATACTCTCGTCTCCAAACACAATGTATGGTACATAGATTTCTAATATTCGGTATAGACTGTAATGTAATGTGTGTGCATGTGTAATATTGCGAATATTATCGAACGTAGGTCGTTGAATATTTTGTTATTTTGAATAATCGTGAAATGTTTGTTCAGGTACTTTATGGGTGGATTGTTGGTGAGAATTCAGATTGTATCTCCAGTAACGAGTTAGTCAGTAATTTATTAAGTTTAACCAGTGTATCGATAAATTAACTAATTTGGTTAGTTAATTTATTTAACGTGAACGCAGTATAAACATACTGATACGAATTTTCAAACACTTTAAAAGTATAGTACAAATTATTAGTAAAAAATAATAAATCAAAACAATACAAAAAACTGAAAATGATCACAGATTATCGTGTTTGAATTACAACTATGAGTGAATAATTATGT